TGGTTATTTAAAGCCCCGGAAGTCAGCTGAGGAGATGGGCCCAGCCCTGCTGCAGAGGACAGGGCCTGTTCTCCTCCCTGCCTACCTGATGTGTGTCCAAAACAAAACCAGACTGGCCCAGTTGGCTTCCAGTGGCAGCTCCCAACCCAGACACGTGCTAGACAGAGAAAATACTGGCTGCCGTTTCTCGGCCACTGTCCTCGGGCCAAGTCTTACGCACACCACTTAACAGAAGCCATCCCATTTCACCTTGCCAGTGCTCCAGGAGGTCCATGTTGCTATCCTTCCTGGAACAGACGAGGAAACTGAGGCTCACCAGGACTCACTCACAGAGCTCATATGTGGCTGCCCCGAGATCCCCGTTAGTGGCTTGGAAACCTGAGACCTTCCGTCCAGCGTGGTGGGGCTCTGGAGCCTTGGGCATGGCAGCCAAATGAATGTGCTCTTCTAGATTTTTGAGATACTACGCAGCGCAGAGTGGTCCATTTGGTTTATTGGTGCTTTTCCAGTACGTGACACATCATAAGTCGTCAATGTTTGTGAACGAATGACTCCACCCGTCTTACAAGGCCCAGCTCAGTATCTGGTCCTTGAGGAAGTTGTCCATAACTCCCTCTGAATAGAAAGACTCCTTCCTAAGCTCGCAACACAAGCTTTGCCTCAGTGTACCCTTATTTCATGGTACCAAACTCTGGGTCCCTGCTCAGAATGCTGACAACGCATCAGGCCTCTCAGGAGTATGGACCGTGTGTGGCCCAGCTGTGCAGGCCTCCGGATCTTGTAGGCACTTGATAAATGTTCATGGACTTGAACACACAGATGCTATCGTGCTGCTCAGTAACTAGGCTTACATGCTTATTCCTATACATGACTGTAATTGGGATTACATTTGTAGCGTTAAACCAAATTCTAGCTTTTCTGTGTGAACTTTTTAGTTTTTAAGTATCCATAGTTGAGTGTCACTGTCCCTTCTGGCACCATTGCCTTGGTGCCCCTTCCCTCGGCAGTGACAAAGCCCTGTGCGGGGCACAGTGCCGCTCTGTGCACCTCAGCTGCCATCGTCTTTGGTCTGTACCGTAGGGCCAGCTCGCCTGGCCAGGGGCAAAGCCTGCATTGTGCCCTTCCGGCTCCCAGCCCCTATCCCAGCCTCACCCCACTTCTGTCCAGGAATAAGGTCCCCAGCTTTCTGCCAGCTGCACTCACCCTGCTTGTCTTCATTAAAGCTCAGGGGAAAGAAGAGACACACCTAGAAATTCATCTTGGGAGAGGAGATGGGGGGACTCTGGGCAGAATAAAGCAAGACAGGGTAGGGTCTTCTGGAGCCAGAGAGAAGGAAGTGAGCATCAGCTGAGTTCCTAAATGTGCCCACCACTTCCTGTCCTCATTCCTGCGGAATCTCCTGGCCACTCTGTGAGCTCAGTAGCATCATCACTTTTCCCCTGAATAAACTTGGAAGTCAGGGAGGTTGAGCACCCCCTGATTGGAGTGGAGGAATTCCAACCTAGGACTCACCATGAAAACCCAGGCTTTGCGCTGTGTTCTGCCCCATTACACATAATTTAGGAAGAGGTTCTTTCAGGCATATGTAGGGCTCAGAAATGTAGTGGAGGTGGGATGCGTATTCCAGCTTAGATGTGATAACTTGGTTTCAGCAGGGGCATCGAGGGAAGAGAAAACAGATGGGAGAGAAGGAAGCCAAGCCAAAAGCTCTGTCCCATCTCATTCAGCCTTAACCCCCCCTTAAATGCCAATAACTAATAAAAATAACAGGAGCACCAGCAAACTGGCGCCCATTTATTTAAGGGCTAGTGAAGAATGAGCAGTCACAATGCATATGTCAGTTGCTTATGTTCAAAACTCAAGAAAAAGTTTTTAAAAGGCAGTTTATTTGATGAAATATTTTTAGCTCTTCCCGTACCGGAAAAGGAGTGTTTGTTGCCAGAGCTGATTCTGCTGAGCTACTCCTGATTGAAGTGGGTGGTGGTGGTTATAACCCTTCCTGGCCACTCGGGGGCAGCACCAAACAGTGCCGGTTGCTTTTAGCTGCTCTATTCTTGGGAAGAAACTCTACTGATTCCAGGGTGGAGTTCAGAATTCCCTTTGTTTCTTTCTTGTTTGGCCACAAAGAATGGTAGTGATGCTTTTCAGCTCAAAAAGTAAATTAAGTAAATAATTGCAGGATTACACAAGAAAAGTGGCTCTAAATGAATTCATTATAATAAGTATAATTTGAGCGTTTGTTTTTTAATCATTATGACAAAACAGTACCCTGATTGTTATGGATAGTTGGATGATTCATATTTCTTAGCCAAAAAAGATACTCACTGGCTTTTCTGAGCTTGTTTAGGTTGAAATCCATGTGTTCTAGAGCTGAAGGGACAAAGGACAACCACATTCTTTTCTGGTTTTTTGGGGGTATATGTGCCGCTGAACCCGGCACGCCTTTTCCCTTTGATATCCTTGATGAGTTCTTGCCTGTAGTCACAGGTTGGAGATTTCCCAAGAAGTAACTAGAGGCAGTGGGAAATTCGGTCCTGGCTTCTGGTTTTAGGAGTCTGTGACCTTCCCACAGTGACCCTGCCCTCAGGCTCCCTGGAAGGGTCCCCCAGCTGTGGGCTGTGAGCAGCATCTACCTATACCAAACCCCTTTCCCACATCAGCACATCGCAGTACCCCAAGGCTGAACTCACTTTGATTTTGACCTAAGATGAACATCTAATTTATTATCTAACCCAGAACATTTTCGCCAAGAAAAGGGCTACTCTTAATTTTGCCAGGATGACGTGCACGAAGCAGATGTATCTGTCACGGAGGAGAGCTGAGACTTGTAGCCATCTTCATTGCACGTACTCTGCCCCTGTCATTTTCCCCTTTTGCTGACTCCAGCCAAGAAGCAGATGCACTGTACGAATCTGCCCTCCAGGAAGTGTTCCCTGGGTGTTTCCAGAGGTCAGGTTCTTACCCAGTGTTGCATTGTTTTCTCCTCCTGACCACCCAGTGAGATAACTATTACTGATGGTATCCCGCTCTTACAACTGAAAAACCTGAGAACTTAAATTAGTAAGTGACTTCCTCAAGGTCACAGGATCTGTAAAACAGAGCTAAGACTGGAACTCGGGCTGTCCTTACTCTTGAGCTATAGATGCTCAGAATGGTAGCTGTATTGTAGACTGCTTTGGAGCCTGCTCTGCAGGCCTAGCCCCCTGTGACATGCCGTCCCTCTAGTGCAGTCTCAGAGGCGTAGCACCAAATGATGCGGGGAGCCCAGAGCCCCTGTATGGCAGCCTGGCCCCTCACTCAGTTTCTTCATGTCTGAAATGCGCACACTGACGTGATGCTGTCGAGCTGAGGGTAAGCGGGGTAGCCTTTGGCGTGGGAACAGTGTCAGATGATATGACTGAGTTGCCTGTTTCCTGCTGTTAAAGTAGGGGTCGTATCAATAAATGTTCTCCGAGTCAGGAGAGTTCAGCGTGTTTTGGAGATGAGGGCAATCACAAGGTCAGAATGGCAGGCCGAGGTGAGTGGATGCGGCCTCTGTTAGGAGCCCATAGGAGAGGGGCCAGCGGGGTGGCTCCTCAGGGCTCAGCCCAGGCGTCATGGACTTTAGGAAAGCAGTGAGGTGGGCTGGGCTGTGCACCAGGCATGGCTGACGGAGCTGCCTGGAGACACAGTCCAGCCTGGAGCTGAGGCAGGGAGCTGTGGGAGGCAGGGAGGGGCGGGCAGACCCCCTCAGCGTGGGGCTCTCACGGCCTTTCCCCTGGGTGGCTCTGCAGTGGCCCCTGGGGACTGCCTGCTCTCCAGGGGCCGTGTGTAGACGGCAATGTGTGCTCACACCTGAGGCAGTTACCTGGCCTTCCCCTGTGGGACTTGTGGCCCAGTGTGTGAATTGCTCACTGGGCTGCTGCTTTTGTCTTTGGCATTGCGGTGGGGTTCCCCTGACAACGTCAGAATTGGCAATCTGGAGTGAGGTGCCCAGTCTGACTGTGTGGCTGGAGCGGAGAGTAACACTGGGCTCAGTATTAGTCCCGTTAGGAGCTGGCTCCATTTCTCCATTCTGTTTCTAAGCTCACTTCGGAAATTTTATAAGCTGTGCTGAGGGAGCCCATCCTTTGGCTCCTGAGGAAGTGCGGGGCTGCACATCTGCCCCTTCTATCCCAGGAAAGTGACCCCTTCAACAGATGTGCAGCTCAGAAGGGCCCTGGGGCTTTGGGGAGAGGTGAAAGACCACCCCCGTGGCCCAGCCTTGGTGACCGGGATAGGCAGAATGGCCTAGTCACCCCACCCTCACATGGACCGGGAATTTTCCTTCTATGTCTTTGGATTTTTGGCTTGTTCCAATAAGCATGTAATGCTTTTTAAATTAAAGGGAGGAAATGGATATCAGAACTTGGAAAAGGAAGCAAGGGGCCTGATCTCAGAGAAAATACCTCTCAAAGATGGAGCAAGTGGATCTCACTGTAGCATCTCACAGCTTCAGGATTTCGTCCTGTAACACATGCTCTTTCACCTCAGGCCTACTTGTTGCTTTGTCTCCATTTTCTTCCCTTTCTGGCTGTTAAACATGGTGCTTATTGTTGTTACGAAGAAATGCCTCACCTGGACTTACCCTGTTTTCTTTTCCTAGATGCTTAGCACGTCTCATGGGCTTGCATTTCTTACTATTGAAAATCAACCTGCCTCATCATAGATCACAGGAGCCTTGAAAGTTTTCTACCCCCTAATTCTATAATAGTACACCTAGTAACCTAAGAGGAAAACATCTGGACACACTGCACACATTAAGCAAGGACATCATCCTGACACCTTTTAATAACAAAAAATAATCCCAATTTAATTTTCCAACAATAGAGGATTTGTTACCCAAATTAGAAGATCAGAGTGCCTAGTGAGGCACGCGAAGGTGTGTTAACATCCTTCGTAGTGCCCCAGGGTTTTAGCGTGACCTGATGTGGATTGATGTGGACCGGAGACTTACTTCTGCCTTCTGCCGTGTCTTCCAGTGCTTTGCTGTGCGCTCCCTGGGCTGGGTGGAGATGGCAGAGGAGGACCTCGCCCCTGGGAAAAGCAGCGTGGCTGTCAACAATTGCATCAGGCAGCTTTCGTACTGCAAAAACGACATCCGAGACACAGTGGGCATCTGGGGAGAGGTAAGTAGCATGCGGATGTAATTCATGACCAGCTGCCCCGGGCCCCCTGCCCCAGGGCTCTGTGGGAGGTGCTACTGTGGGCTTCTGGGTGTGTGTGAGCTGTTGCCTCGCAAAGGCAGATAGGGTCCACATGGTACATCCGGGTGACTACTCTCCACTCCGCCTCGTCCAGGTGAGGGTTGAGGTCCTGCGCAAGAGCGTTTCTCAGAGCCCCCTCCCCCGCCCCCTTATCCTCCGGTCCTCACAGATCTGTGGATAAAGTTAGGGTACCAGAAACCTCTGAATTTTATGTGCAAAATTGTTGTGCTGGTCTGTTTAGGATAGTTTCTTGGGAGAGGACTCATTGCTGTCAAAGTACATTATTTTTGTAGTTTCCATTTTCTTTGGCAGTACTAGGGGTTGAACCCAGGGCCTTCATTCTCAGCTGTAGCCCCAGCTCTGGTTTTATTTGTAGTTGTATTTTGAGACAAGTTCTCACTAAATTGCCCAGGCTGGCGTAAACTTGCCATTCTCCTGCCTCGGCTTCCCAGAGGCCAAAGTGTATTCCTCAAAAGAAGCTGTGACTTCCACACATACTTGTAAAAGAACATTGATGCCTCCACTGGAAGGTGGCTTAGTAGCCTCTCATACTACACCCTTCTTTCTTTACAGTCTGAAAATCAACATTACACATGAGGTGTGGAATTGATGCCCATATATCCCTCTCACCGTCCATAAAGTGATTCCACTTTGAATGTCAGCTGAAATAATTTCAGAAAAGAAAGTGACAGTAAGAACACCAAATCTGTATAAAAGTCACACCAAGGAGGAAAGCCATATTCCTACTGTGCTTGAGACCTGCAGAACTTGGGGTGCCTTAGCATAGTGGCCGTTGCATGCAGGTACCCCTCCCTGCCTGCGTCCCGTTAGCAGGACTGTGGGAGTGAACCTCCGCTTCGGGTCTGGGCTGTGTGAGAATCTGCTCAGGGCGGGAGGTACTTTCACAACCCTTCCCACAGAGCTAAATTGCATTGCTATCCAGACTTTTAGATCCCTAGCATTGGGAGAAGGGAGAAAAGATTTTCTTCTACCCAAGAAAAATACTGCTTTTTTTGGTATTTGACTTTAACATCCTTTCACCACATGACCCCCCAACTTTCCTTCCAAATACTCAGGCCTCAGTGCCCTACCTCCAGTCTGTCCTTCATGAAGAACTCTAGACCTCTCAGTAGTTCTGAGCTAGGATTGGGACGAGGTTGTTGCGATCTGGGCTTTGTGTGAGTGACTCACCCTGCAGGTGCCCGAGGCCATGGTCGCTGCAGTGTGCCTGCAGGCCCTGGACTAGCCGTGATGCCTGCCAGTGGCCACGTCCGCCTGGACTAGCCATGATGCCTGCCAGTGGCTTGTCTGTAATTCATTTTGCCTTTCCTTGGGGCAGTTCTAGATCTTGCTGAGTCAGCTGTAGCCACTGGCTCAGCTTAAACACTGGCTCAGAAGCAGTGATCTACCCATCTCTGCCTCCCTGAGCATCAGAGCTGAATTCACTCTGAGAACCTTCAATAGGAATCTGAAACGTCACTGTCAAGAGCTTTCCTGTGGACTTGGTGGCACACACCTGTAATCCCAGTACTCAGGAGGCTGAGGCAGGAGGATCGCAGTGAGTTTGAGGCCAGTAGTGAGTTCCAAATAAGAAAAAATAAAAGAGCTTTCCCAGAAAGGAATTGGTCAGTCTCGATTTGGGATTGGAAGACTCACCAAGAAACCTCTGTGCTGCCGAGGACTACACAGGGAAGGAATGAAGTTGAATAGCCTAGTCCTCCTGTCCTCCTGTCTTCAGAGGACCAGCACCTACGGGGAGATGCAACACCAAAGCTTCCAGAACTCAGCTGCAGCACAAACGCTTGAGACACCCAGATGCTGCCCTGTCTCGGTGATACGGCAGCACCCAGGACAGCTTCTGAGTCAGGTCTGCGGCAGGGCACTTAACTGCTCAGCCTCAGTTTCCCTGAGTGTTAGATAATAAAACAAGCTCTTCCAGGGTCATTTAGAGAGTTCCTGAGCCCCAGGGCCCCTCAAGCACCCCGTGTATCTGCGTGTGATACATAGACATGTAAGTGTGAGCCGTGAGTGCGGAGACGCGTCCAGAGCCCTGCCTGCTGGCTGCCCGCTGCACCACACAGGCAAAGCACGATGTGAGTGCGGAGGAGTGAAGGACATGGCTGTGGGTCTGGAAGGGCCGAGGGCATGCCTGAGAGGGTCCGAGCACGACCGTGGGAGAAAATGGTTGTCAGAGTCTGCTGGGCAGGGAATGTGTATGAGAATCGATTCTCCAGGCCTCCACATTAGCCCGTCTTCTGAAAAGTTCAGATAGGTGAATAGTTAAAAATAAGGGCCAGGCTGGGCATGGTGATGCACACTGGTAATCCCAGCACTCAGGAGGCTGAGGCAGGAGGATCACCATTAGTTCGAGGCCAGCCGGGGCTACATAGTAAACTCAGGGCCAGCCTGAACTACACAGTGAGACCTTCTCTCGAAAGAGAAAGAGAGAAAAAAAAAGGGCCAGCTAAAAAGCAGTTGGGGACATTTCAGAGGACTCAGAGAACAAGAGAAGGACTGGGGATGTAAGGGGATGGGAAAGATGGGTGAATATTTCAGTCCAGAAAAGATGTCTCCCTATTGGGAAAACAAATTATAGACCCATGGGGTGACCGCTTTGGGGCGCTGAAACAGTACCCTGCGATGGCCACAAATGTGGTCGGGGTGTGGAGCCTGCGTGAGGAAGTCAACGCCTCTCGTTGCACCCTAGGGCAAAGACATGTACCTGATCCTGGAGAATGACATGCTCAGCCTGGTGGACCCCATGGACCGCACCGTGCTGCACTCCCAGCCCATCGTGAGCATCCGCGTGTGGGGCGTGGGCCGCGACAACGGCCGGTGAGTCCCGGGCTGCGCGGTCTGCGCCCCTGACCGTGGGCCCAGTTTCGGCTCTGTACCAAGTGCGTTCTCACAGCGCCTCAGTGAATGAGACCTGACAGTAAGCTGCTTAGGAATATAACAGATTAGAGCACAGCTTCCCTGCCCGGAAGCCCTGCGGAGGACATCCCTTCCATCCCTTCCGGGCTCGTACCTTTTGCCAGCTCTGGCTCCGGCCTTTGAGTTCTGCTACTTTTCCTTCAACAGGAATCTAAACGACCATTCCCCAGCGCTTTCCCGTGGGTGTGGTGGCGCACGCCTGCCTTCATCTTCATTCTGCTAAGTCCCCAGCTCTCCTGGCCGTCTGAACCCCTTTATTTCATTCTTTCTGCAGTCTTCTCCTAACCAGCTCTCTCTCACGCCATTGAATCCCAGCCACTTAAGATCCTGCCTAGTGGCATTTTCTTCATGGAAGGTTTACTTGAAAAGATAAGGTCATACAACCTTTAATCACAAACCTTGGGTCACAAAGCTTTGAGTATCTGGAATTTCTGAGGTTGGGCTTGGCTAAACTGGTTAACACTTAAAGTGTTTGGTCATATCGAAATGGCATTCCATGTGTATTTTGTGAAATTCTACTGAAAATATGTTACTTATGGGTAAATGTGTTGTGAACTTTTTGTTCTCCAAGATGCCTAGAAACGACATCCCAATTTTCAAGAATATATTGTAGCTAATAATTTAAGCAACAGTTATTACAGGCATCATACTTGGAGACCAATGCAGTTAAACCTTAAATTATGGTCAGTCTTTGGCAATTCCAAGTCTTAGAGGGTCTCCTGGCATTTAGGGGCCAGCTGTATGACGGGAGGCTCACCGGGGCTCCCGGGCCCATTCCTGTGCATTCCAGTTTTTGTCAGTTTGCACGGTCCTCTCTAAAGGGGGCGGAGGCTCCTGCCTTGTCTCGTCGCAGCCTTTCTCCGTGAACACTGGGCATGGGTGCACTTGATTGTCCTCTGATTCAGTTCCACGTTCTAAACTGGAAAGGAAAGACTGTGACCTAAGTATTGATCTACAAAAGAGAAGTGTTCTCTGGCTGCTGATGGGATGCACCTTCCTGGGAGCGGAGTACATGTTGAGCTTTTTTCATAGCAGAGTGACAAGTGCTGACTGCTGGCTTGGGTACCTTGAGGGAACATCTGGACAGATTCTGCATATGCGTCTGTTATCCACTCGCTGGGCGCAGCTGTACCCCTGGACCTGGTGCTTTGACAGCACATGAATACTTTTACAAGGAAACTCTCTGATGACATTGGGTAATCAGTGAAAACATTTAGTTTTGGTGGAAGGCACTGGATATGAGAGGCTTGATCCAGCCCAGATCCCTCACCTGCAAGTTTGTTTTTAAGGCAGGAGCCAAGATTTGTACAACCTGATGTGGTTAAGTGGGTTTTGTTTTTGTTTTTGGATGCTGGGGTTTGAACCCAGGACATTGAACATGCTGGGCAAATGCTCAAATGCTGAACTATATCCCAAGCCTGGCTGTGTATTTTTAAGGCTTAGTTTGTGGATTTCATTGATGAGGATTTTCAACCCACTCCAACTCCTTAAAATGAGTCCAAATGCTTTGTGTTTGGAGGATTATTCAAATTCCCAGTTAAAAAAAATGACTCAGGTTCCCTAACCCTGATTTTCTCTCATCTGAGAAAGGACAGTCATAGCAGGGACCAGGACACATGCGTACATGCTGCAGGTGTGTGTGTATAGAACCAGGCACAGAGGTGGAGATGCGGGAAATGCTTAATGAGTGTTTGCTCCTGAGTTTTTAAAGCAGGATGCACTTAGCAAATGCAGCTGATTACATGGCTTCCTTTCCAAAGCAGTGAAGGTGAAAGAGGCAGACCCTGGGGAGGCTCCGGGGACAGTTTATGATGTGAGACAGATGACGAGAGGCTGTTGCAGGCAGGAGTGAGCTCAGCTGCCCTACAAAGCAGGGAGAGCCCCTCGCGCCCACCCCCAATGATGTCAGAGTAAATTAGCGAGTGTTGCCTTGGCTGCATTTTCAGAAACGTAGGCCACTTGTCATTCTTACTCAGTGCTGGCAGAGAAGTGTAGTGTGGAAATGTACTCAGGCTTCCCCCAGCAGGCTTTCAGGACCTCAGCAAGCGTCGGTGGCTGTGGGGGCCCTGGAGCAGGATTGCTTCTGGAGCAGCACATAAAGAAGCATATTTGCTAGGGAAAGGGTCTGTTTCTCACTGTTGGTCCCCTGAGTTTTTATTTTCTAAAAAGGACCTTTGTATTTCCTAATTTTTTTTTAAACCTTCCTTTGCTTTTCATTCTCTCTCTTTTTTTTAATACAGCAATTTACAAGAGCAAATTCAATTTGTAATGCAGCAAAGGAAAGGAGTTTTCACTTTGCATGAATAAAACATAAAAGTGTTTCATTTTGCTGGGGAACATGAGCCCATTTCACATTCTCTTTTGTAACTTTCCTTGCTGAGAAAATGGAATCTCTTAGGGGATTTCTTGATGTGGTTAAAATGAGTAAGGAAAGTGTATGTACTGGAGCTGGGGACAGCGTACTTACTTCACGGAACCATGTAATTTCAGAATTTCCGAGAGGGCTTGGGTTTAGCATTTTCTTAGGAATTGTAAGTGGTTTGGGTTTACTCTGAGGAGATTCCCGATGTGGGTGAAGGGGAGACATGACGAGAGCCCCACATGGTTGGTTCTCTGTGGGGCTCCGCTCTGGCTGGCTTTGTCCTCTCCTCGAGAGCCCTGCCTATCTTGACTGATTTATTACCTGGGAGAGCAAGGCTGCTTCCTTTCTCTTGACCACACCACACGTTGGTGCCTTTGGGGCCTGGAGATGGAGGTCTACATTTCCCGGTGCAGCCCAGATCGACCCATTCTGTTTGCACTGCCTTCTGCAGAGTTCTGAGCCATATAGCTGGTGTTTTGCCCTTGACGGCCAGGACAGGTGACTGGAGTGTCTCCACCATCTTGTTTCTATGGCTGTGCAGGACACTGGCCCAAGGATGGGTAGAAAGGACCTCACCTCCCTGTTTCAGAGACCAGTGCCACTTCCGGCTTCGACGTTCTTCTTACTCACTTAGGTCCAGCTTTCTCCTTATTCTTTTACAAAAGTATCAAAAACAAGCAAATGTAGCGGTACGGGGAAGCTCACACTTGTAATCCCAGCACTCAGGAGGCTGAGGCAGGAGGACTGCCACAACTTCAAGGCCATTGTGGGCTACATACTGCGTTCAACCTGAAGCACATAGCAAGACCCTGTCTCAACACAAATAAATAAACAAACAAAAGATAAGCAAATGTAATCACTGAGTGTAGGGGTCTCTTAACAGGACTCCCCTTTTCCTCATGGCAGGTGTGTGTCCATCTCTGAGGAATGGGCACAAAGACCTTTGTGTCTGCTAAGCAACATGAAGTGGAGCCCTTCCCAGTCCTTTTCGCGGTGTGAGAGGTTTATATTTGTAATCCCATGGAAAAGTTATTGGAATCCTAGCAAGTTAATGCCAAGCTACCACTTCCAGTGCAACCCACGGCGAGACTAGAGACACTAAGGCATATTTGTAGTTGTGGGAAGCCAAGGGGTCCTAAGTCCAGAGAGCATGATGGCTAGTGGGAACAAAGACCTCAACCCAAGGCCAAACCTAAGTTTGATTAATTCTCACTGAGAGGAGTGGCTCTGGGATGAGTGACTGTGAGCGTGGCAGGAAATACGGAAGTGCCTCTAGCTGGACTAGGTAGGAGCCCTGAAGTCACCTCTGCAATATGCAGAGACAAGGATATGCAGAGGATAATCTGCATGACACAGTTCAAGGTCGTATCCAATGTTTTGGGGATGATGCTTCAGCTCTGATGTGTAATGTTTTATTCCCTGGGAAATCATAGCCTCTTATCTCGAGGCTTGATCCTGACAGTGTGGAGCGTGGCCCGCCATCCTGCCTGCGAAGCTGTACGGGTGGGGTAACACTGACCTGTCACCTTTTTTCAAAGACTACACATCAGCATCTGGGCTGGACCGATTTGCATTGCTTAAAGCCAGTTAAAGGGATAAGGAAAAGTGCTAGCCAGCTCTGTACATCTCAGTACATGGAAATAAGGTCAAGTGTAGCCAAAATGGAGATAATTGCTCTTCTTTCAAGAAGAGTTGTGCAAGTGGTCCTCCACACTAAGCTCTTCTGCTTCTCAAGAAGAAGGAAAATGGGTGGGTGGGGTTGACAGAGGATTTCAGACCCCATTGGTGGATGTTCTCAGGTGGCTTTTACATCAGTGTGCCATGGGAGAATAATCAGGTGAGATATTCATACATTTTCCATGACAGAAAACAGACCAAAAACAAAAGATTCTGGATTTACCTGGGATACAGGCTTAGTAAAGTATCACACACCCACTTCCCCCGGGCTCTCCCTCTCTGCTGTGTGCATGGAACCCTCCAAGCAAGCTCCATCCAGGTTTGACTGGAAGCCTGCCTGCATTAGCCTGCTTTGTGTTACTATAACAACATACCAGAGATAGTCAACTTTAAAGAGAGAAAAGTTTATCTTGGCTTACGATTTTGGAGGTTTTTAGCCCATGGCTTGTTGGCCTCATTGCTTTGGGCCTCTGGGAAGTAGCATATCATGGTGGGAGCACATGATGGCGGAGACAGGAAGCTGCTCACCTTTATGACTGGGAAGCAGCATAGGTGAAAGAGGGACCAGGGTTCCAGTGTCCCCTTCAAGGGCATGTCCCCGTATGTCCAGAAGACTTGTAACTAGGTCCCAGCTCTTCAAGTTCCCATTCCCTCCTTCTAGTGCCACGGGCTGGGGACCAAGCCCTTAACACAGAATACTTACCTAGGCCATAGCACTTTGCTGCACAGAAATGCCAGTCACGGAACACTTCGGACAGTACTGCTCTGGTTAGTAAACTCATCCATTTAAATCAGTGAAAACACCAAATTGCTCCTTTTGTTTATTAAGGAAAATTTGAATGACTTTCAGTAAATAACTGTT